ATGTGGGGGGGAGATGTGCAGGGGGACACGACCCCCTGCAGGAGAAATTCAGTGAACTGATTGGGAATATCTGCCTAACTGTTGACTGAAAAGAACTACCAATGTTTCCTGTGTCCTGTTCAATCCTTTGTGTTGCATTGAATCATGAATTAGAAAAGCCATGTAAAAGCAAGGAGGAGGTTTTCACTGAGTGTCAAGCAGTTCTCGTACAGGTTATTGGTTGTGGAGGAACAAACAAAAAGCTAGCAGGCTTTGATGGATGGCAGCCCAGCACAGTCTTAGACAACTCTGTCTGATGGAGCAAAGAACATAAGTGCCAAAGATGATCTAAACAACAGGAGGAAGAAAAGGGCTAGTGCTGTCAGACACATATGACTGCTGAGGAGAAAAGCTGTCTTGTAATACCAAGTATAGAGAAATTCAATAAGTTCACTTTGAGTGTCAAAACATATTGCAGAAAAAAAACTATCCATAGAATCTGGCAGCACAAGGGATCACAATGTCATCACAGAATAGTCAATAAGATAGAGTGGAAATATAAAATAAATGCTATGCAGAAGACAAATGCGGAAATATTGTTAGTGCCAGTAAACAACAGAGTACTAGGTGTCTTTCACAAGCAAACCAAAGCAAAAATGTTTTGTGTTTTCCTGAAAAACTCATGTTGACTTAAAATGAGAAGGATACAAAAACCCTTTTTATATCAAGGTTTAGCCTGTGCTTGATGTATAATCTAGAATGGTATTTCATGATCTGTAGCTTGAAATGGTGTAATAAAGTCTAATTGGCCACAAAAAAAAAAAAAAAAAGACAAGAAAAAGGTAAAAGCAGAACAATGGAAACAGCATAAGCTACAGTTGGGAAAGATTTGGAAACAGACATCAGGTTTTTTGTTGAATCTGAACAAATTTCCAAATTCAGAGGATTTCTGAAAAAAAAAGGATCATTTTATTTTGTGTGGGGGGAAAAAAACCACTCAAACAAAAAGCCAACAACCCCCAACCCCCAAAAACCCCATACTCACCACCAAAAAAAAACCCTAAACAAAACCAAGCAAACCTCAAAAAAACTTCCGAGTGTTTCATTTATACAACTATTTTTAGGTGTATCTTATTTAAGCACACTCATATATAAAAAAAACCAAACTTCAAATCCCTTTAAAATTTAAATATTTTGGTCTTAGGTGGAAAAGACAGACTATGAAAATTGGATGAAAGAAGAGTATCAAAGGGACACTATATTATACAAAGCATCCCCAGGGACTTAAAGTAATATACCAAGGGAAATTTAGGGTCAAAACAGAGAAACCAATTCTATCAACAAGTTCCAGCAGCTATTTACAGAATTCACCCCTGACTAGGGAGAGTATAATGCTGCATTGGTAACCACATGATAGAGATGGTGACGTAAACACAATAGGGTAAGTGAAATTACATTGGATGTGCAGAGTTTATATAATAATGCAAAAATTCATATTCTCCAACATATGCAGCATTAGATTAGGAAATGACAAAAGAAATGAAGCTTTTACATACCATAAGTCATTGCTGCTGGTAGCAAGTAATCAGACAACCCACAAGAAGAGAACCTAATTTAGTTCTGACTAGTACGTAGGACCTGATTCAAGAAGTAGTTATTAGAGAACTACTTCTGGACTGAAAGTCAGCATAGTTTTTCAGAAGGAACAGGATGAGAAAATCCACTGTAGTAACATTTAACTTGCAGAGAATGAGCAGATAAAAATGACTTACTTAAAAAAGAATAGTTAAAAGATTTAATGGCAACAGCATGGAGGCAGATTAAAATGTATGAAAGAGTGAGAATCATAACATATAACCCATCTTTTTTTTTTTAATTATAAAAATCAACTATCTTATGAACAACAATAACAAAACACCAACCAACAAAAAAAAAAACTCAACAAAAAAAAAAAAAAAAAGAAAAAAAAAACCCCAGTCATAAAAAGCCAACACCCAATCCAAAACACCAGAATGAAGATTTTGGAAACTGTTAAGTCATCTAAGTATCTCAGTGAAGAAAGATAGGGAGAAAAAAAAACCCATAAAATCTGTCAAGTTAAATATATACCACAGTCTTTTGAGAATCAACTTGCTACAGACTTAAGTTAATAATAGCTTTTTGTTAAAATGGCCATTCAAGAAGCAGGAGACCTCCCAGAGAGATGACCGGGTAGAGAGGTAATCAAGTTATTAAAGTACTGAATACTAAATTAATTGTTTTCACTGATGTTCACAACAAAGAATGTTAGAGAGATTCTCACAATCTGAGGGTGTTTCTCAATGTTTATCATAATCTGAAGGTGTTTTAGTAGATGTAAATAATATCAAACTATAAGAATTCCCATAGGTGATGTTCACCCAGGAAGTGTTTTAAAGGAACAAAAATATGACATTTCTGAACTAACTATTGTAACATATAACCTATCATTTATGTCGGCCTCAGTGCCAGAAGAAGTGTTGCAATTGTGGCACTGTATTTAAAAAGGACTCAAGGGCTGATCACTGTAATAACAAAATAGAAAATAGACATTTTTATGTATTGTAAAAAATTCAATTGTATTGAATTGTAAAAAAAATCATGTTGTTCTTATTTCTACAATATTGTGTAGTTTTAGCCTCACCAAATTAAAAAATGACATTACAGAACCATCACAGATGACCAGAGATGTGGCATGGTTTCATATATGCTGAGATTAAATAGATTAGGAGTCATCATTTAGAAAACAGGCTGGAGGAGTGGGCATTTCAACTCTGTATAATCATAAACAGTATAATGGACATAAATAGGGATACATTAATCTGTTTCCTCCTATCTAAGGAGATATAGGCTTAATGACATAAAAACATTTAAAGCAAACAAAAGGAAATGCCTTTCACTCACTGTGTCTTTAAAATGTGAAATGTAATGCCATAAGATGTAACTGAGTTCAAGCTTATGACAGTTGGATCTCTGCTCAGCAGCTAGCAAACACTACTAAGATGTGTGTGACTAAGATGGAGGATCCAGCTCAGAAAGACAGTTTATTGCAGGCAACTGGGATGGCAAAGAAGAAAACCTTTATACTTCTTCCTGTTTGACACGAATTCCTGCTGCTGATCACTGCTGAAGTCAGGATTTGAGGGTGAGTGGGGTATTCATCAGCTCAAACACGGTTACATTTTTGTGATGGTATCATAATAATAGTAAAACCTAGGGAAGACTTCCCATCAGCTGCAAAAAAGTTTTGATTACTGATGGAGTTGTACATCTGATGGAATTCAATAAAGTTGAGATCTGTTTTAACAAGCTTCAGGCATCCTTTTGGTGGGTGCTAATTCCACAGTTCTGTCTGGTGTGTGTTCAGCTGATTGGAAATGATGTAACTGACAGAGCAAGCTGCATTTAGACAGATCCCTGATGTTCAGATAAATCTTGTCGCTAGTTTAGATGATTGCTGTGGTAGCAACTGAATTTTATATATTTATATATATACCTATACACATATATATGTGTGTATATATATAAAAGAAAGAAATAGATATGTGTGCATACATATGTATGTATGTGTGTATATGTATATATAAAATATATGAATAAAACCAATTTGGTAAATCTCACCACTTTTTCTGAACATACCTTTAAAGTATTAATTCTGTGAACCACACTCACTTTTTATAACATGTGAGAAACTGAATACTCTCAAAAAGTGTTTTTCCCCTGCTTTTTGGAAGTTCATTTTTTTTCTGCTCAGTAAAATTTTTATCATAATTTCATGCTCCCACACTTCATGGTTTGTTACTTGGTCTATTACTCTCACATGTAACTAGATAAGGTCCTGCTTCCTACGATATTAATTTCTGAGTTTTGATTCTTCACAGCGGCTGCTTTGAAGTCTTAGATAACATTCTGAGCATTGCACATTGCTCCTGGTATTAAACTTTTAATTCAATTGCAATACATATCTCTGTTTCTCCCGAACAACTTTTCAGTAAATTGTTATATTCTAATCTTTTAAAATGAATGTTTTGCTTTTAATCAGGACAAAACTGTGGACTATTCTTAAGCTAGTAACTTCTGTAAAAAGATTTGGTGATTTATTCTCATCTTCAATCCTTTCTTCAAAGGGATTTAAGTCTGATCTTCAGAAGCATTCTAAACTATTGTGTATTTCATACATGAATGAAAAGAAGAACTGGTGCTTGTACTTGTCTTTGTGCCCTCTCTTTCAGCAGCATGTTCTTTTTGACCCAATACTGTCCAGGACCAGGAAATGCATCTGTCAGTAACTTCCTTTGGATAATACGTGTGTTGAAGTAGTGTGCACATGTGTTGCTGAATGGTTATTAGCTGGAAGCAAGCAGATACAAAAACTCTGGGCTTGACCTCACCTTCCCCCTTCAACAGAATGATTTAAAAGAATGCATGTGAATCTGGACTGCAAGTCAACATCAGGTAAAAATTTCCTTTACCAGCCACTAGATCTTTAGCTATTAGTTGAAAAAATTTGGTCTGCGAATACTTAACTTTCTTAAATGGGCAAAAAAATGAGAAAGGGCCTCATCTCACATGTTGAGCTGAGGCTGTTTTGATACTCGAGTCAGGAAGGACATATGAATGGAGGTGGGCACTGTGGATGGAGCAGTACTGCAGATATTCCCATGGATTTCTCTCCTTTGTATGTGATTTTTATATGAAGGGCCTAATTCTTCCATTCATTAGCCCTTTCTGTGCAGTGTCACAGGATTTGTCTATGGATACAAATATGCAGTTCTCATGCAAATTATTTACAGCTATGTGAAAGCATAGATATGTATACTGTGACAATTAACATAATTTGCAGACAATATGTAGACACTTAACACAACTTGACACCTTGTCCAGTTACATGCACTGAGTCATAAAGACATGACAAACTTTTGCCAGTATTAATCTTCCTCCAGAGTCATAATATGGGGCAGAATTCTAATGATGAAATAACCTTGTTATATAGAACTACTTACAGATATTAGCAGTGCCCTTAGGTATAGGCAGATAAGAACCAGGACTCCATGGTCGGCCCTGATAATTCTTCTTGCATTTTCCACAGTCTGGGCCAGTTGTGTTATGTTCACATTCACAAAGTAGTCTTTTGTTTTCTTCTTTACAGCCAGTAGCATGAAGGTTGCACTTACACCTATTTTTAAAAGGCAAAAAAAAAAAAAAAAAAAAAAAAATTATTTAGAGGTGAGTTTACAGTTAGGTTAAGTCTTAGTAAGCCATTGGAACTATTCTGTTTCTGTGTTTTGTGTCTGTATTATTATTTTAGCATGGTTTATAAGACATCACTCAAATAGCATGTTATAATATCTTCAGCTCTCAGATCTAAAAGCAGTAATTTCACCAAGACTCCAAGATGCTGAATCTTTTCTTATTTTCACTAACACAGCTCCACTGAGATCAACTGAATTATTCATAATTTTCACTACAGATAGGTCTATAATCTTGCAAAAATTCAAGAGTTTCTACTCCCAGGAACAAAACAAGACTTCAGCTCATGTCCTTAGAGAATCTGGCCCAAATTAGGATCCAAGTTAGGCCCCCGGAGTCTGAGAAAACAGACTTAATTAAATATTCTCTGCAATGCCACACTTCAATAGAAGGGAAGCTCAGTATCATGGTGTTCTGCCATTCTTGTTCAGCAAGTACTTTATTGAAAGCAATTTTTTTTCCTACTTTAATTTGATATAGTTGTAGGAGCTGAAGGTCAGAGGAAATATTTTAGTAGGCACATTTAGTTTTACTTAAATAAAGAACACCTAATTGAACCTTGCAACAAAATCATTAGCTAAACCAGATTCTGTATCTGGTCTTAGAACAATTTTGTGTTCCTTAAAGTCTACTCTTTCTGTGAAACTAGGACACTTACAGCATGGGATGCTGTTTCATGAACAGTAAGGTGCTGTCACCTCTTTCCATCCCTTTCCAACAGATGTCAAACATAGCTAAAATCTGTTTCTGTTTGGGGGTGGGGAGAAAACTAATATATTCAACACCCCTGTCTGTTTGTTTTCCTAATGATTGTACATTTAGTGATGTAAAGGGTTCTCATGTAGGCATCTGTCACCTGTTCCATATAGTGACCAATAATTAAAGCAAAACAACACATGGAATGGCCAAGTGGAAATTAACAGCTGTCAAACTGACTTCCATTTGGCAGGAAAATGACCTGAAGTAACTGGCCACATACATATATCCCTAGGGTAAAACAAGCTTGCAGTTGTCGTATGTGGCTGCTGGAGAAAATCCACAAGAATCTGTAATACAGTAGATGATGGAGCTTTCTCCTCAATGTTAGAAATGAGGCAGATAAAAATGCCATTATTTGAGCATTGCTCATTCTGAAGAAAAAGAGGTTCAGCTCCTTTTAAACTGAAATTACCGAAATGTATTCAATATGCTAGACACAAAGTGTGATCATTTCCAAAATATTGATGCTCAAACACTACATCAATTGTAAAGTAAATTTTCAATGACTAGCTACTGCAGAATGAAAGATGCCTGTTTGGGTATTAGTAGATGAGGTGTGCTTATTCATGTACAGATTGAAGATTATGATGAATGGCACTGCTGTTAAAAAATGAGTGATGTGTGGTTTTACTGTCCACAAGAATATGAAAATGGAAAACTCCCAAACAGGAGAGATACATAATAATGACAAGACCAAATAATTAGATAGAGAATCAGAAGAGAAAGAAAGCTGGAAAGACTGTGGACAGCGTGGATTCACTAGAATAAAAGAGAGAGAAACTGATAGAATTTCTGTCAAGGGGAGATTTGTGTTTTATTGGAGGGACTCATCAGTGTCAGAGGCAGCAAGTGTTCTGAGGAAAAGTTGTAGTTCCTAGGGCTCTGAAACGATGCTGCAGGCTAGAACTGGAACTAAGGTGAGAAAAATAAGTGTAGGGTATATCTGCTAATTGCTGTAACTGTGCACAGCTCTCTTAATAAGCACCTGAGAATAGAGAACTGTGTCACAGAAAGACTGTGTCAGAAAACCATGTGCTAAGTCTGTTTGCACTTCTTAGATGCTGTACTTGCCATATGTTCCTGAAGAGATAAACTGACCCTTGCTCAGTTTTGCTTGCACAGTTAAAAGTCTTGAGCAGACTCTGGCCTTATATATCTTCCTCTGCTTCCACCCAGTCCTTTCCCATCCCACTTCATATATACGAAAAATATGCATGTATTTCTATGTATGGATGCATATGTGCATGCACAAACAATTCCCACAAAAACTCATGCAAATTGATTTCCTTTTATTTCCCCCCATTCCCTAATTCCATTCTGATTCATCTCTTCATAGGCTGCCTCCTCCTTCTCCTTATTTCCCAGGCAAGAAAGCATGGACAGCATGGAATAGATCTGTTGATGGTTCTGGTGCCCAGATTTTTAATTTCTTAGGCCAAGATTGCTGCAGAGGAAGGGCTTCTTAGCCCAGATCTGTGGCATCATGCCAAGGGAGCTGTTCTGTGGTCCACATGGCAGGGCCTATGCAGTACCACAACAGACATGGTTTTTGCACAACACAGCTTCTGTGATTTTAGCAACCAAGTTCCACAGAAAAAGGAAAACTACATATTTTGGGGTTCTGTGTTTGTACCAAATATGGGCAGGTTTTCACAAAAACAGCAAAATGCATTTTCTCGTGGAAGTTGTTGTTTACCTTCTATGAAATGCTATTTACAGATTTGAAACAATCAGCCCTCATTCAGGCATTCAGAACAAACACACATAAAACAGATAACGTAGGGACATCTTGGCCACTTAGCTTCCTAAATGGAGGAGTTGTTAAATGGTTCTTTCTGCTCTAAACCAGTAGAATAATTACAGATTCGTTCAATCAGTGCCTTTTTGCAAATCCCCAAAATGCTGCATCCTGCCATAAAAGAAAATTCCAAATAATACTATTTTAAGAGAAACCAGAGCAAACTCCCTCCAATTAAAAAACAAACTCCCCCAAAAGTAAACAACCTCCCCCCCAAAACCATCAACAAAGCCCCCAGCAATGGGGACAGAAGTGTAGACTTCTTGGAGTATGATTTCAATTGAATGAGAGAAAACAACAAATTTGATCACTGCAAAAAAGAAGACTGATCAGATCTTACGATCAGACATAAAGGACTGATCTAACACCTTTGTAAGTAGAGGAGTCAAAACCTAACATTAACATCCAAGCAAAAAAAGAACTGACAATGCTGAATTATCCTAAACCCCATGAGAATAATTAAATATTGCTGTGTGTAATTTCCCAGAAGAAAGTAAGGAAAAATGTGGTCACTGTGGTATTCTAGAAGATTAGCCAAAGATCAAGGTAAAAAAATACATTCACATTAAAAATGTCAAATGTAGAGTTAATGAGAGTGTCGTGGTTTAAACCCAGCCAGTAATTCAGAACCACGTACCCACTCGCTCGCTCCCTCCCTTCTTTCTTCCCCCGCTCCTGGAGGGATGGGGAGGAGAATCAAAAGAATCTAACTCCCATGATTTACTCCAGTCCGGTAACTAAGGTATAACACAAACCACTGCTGCTATCACCAACAATAATAATGATAAGGGAAATAACAAGGGAAGAGAATACAACCACCCGCTGACTGATACCCAGCCCGACCCAAGCAGTGATCTAGCCCTTCTAAGTAACTCTCTCCTGTTTATATACTGGGCATGATGTGCTGTGGTATGGAATACGCCTTTGGCTAGTTTTGGTCAAGTGTCCTCCCAGCTACCCCTCCTCCCTGGCAGAGCATGAGACTCAGAAAGTCCTTGGTCCGAGTAAACATTATTGAGCAACAGCTAAAAGCATTTGTGTTATCAGCGTTGATCCCATGCTGAAAGTCAAAACCACAGCATTGCACCAGCTACTAAGAAGGACAAAAATGACTGCTACTGCTGAACCCAGGACAGTATCCACCCCTTATTCCATACCATTCACGTCATGCTCAGATCCCACATTTTTCAATATACCATCACTCTTGTCTCATATATATATATATAGAATCATAGAATAGTTAGGGTTGGAAAGGGCATTAAGATCATCTCATTCCAGCCCCCCTGCCATGGGCAAGGACACCTCACACTAAACCATGCCACTCAAGGCTCTATCCAACCTGGCCTTGAACACCCCAGGGATGGAGCATTCACAGGTTACCTGAGCAACCCATTCCGGTACCTCACCACCCTAACTTCTTCTTCCTTATATCCAATCTAAACTTCTGTTTAAGTTTTAACCCATTACCCCTTGTCCTGTCACCAAAGTCCCTAATGAAGAGTCCTTCCCCAGCATCCCTATAGGCTCCCTTCAGATACTGGAAGGCTGCTATTGTATGTCTCCACACATCCTTCTCCAGGCTGAACAGCCCCAACTTTCTCAGCCTGCCTTCATACGAGAGGTGCTCCAGTCCCCTGATCATCCTCATGGTCCTCCTCTGGACTTGTTCCAACAGTTCCATGTCCTTTTTATGTTGAGGACACCAGAACTGCACACAATACTCCAAGTGAGGTCTCATGAGAGCAGAGTAGAGAGGCAGGATCACCTTCTTCGACCTGCTGGTCATCCTCCTTTTGATGCAGCCCAGGATATGGTTGGCTTTCTGGGCTGAGAGCGCACACTGCCGGTTTATGTTAAGTTTCTCATCGAGCAACACCCCCAAGTCCATCTCCACAGGTCTGCTCTGAATCTCTCCTCTGCCCAACCTATAGCTGTGCCTGAGATTGCTCCCACCCAGGTGTAGGACCTTGCACTTGGCATGGTTATCTTCATAAGGTTGGCATCTGTCCACCACACAAGCGTGTCAAGGTTCCTCTGGATGGCATTCCTTCCCTCCAGCCTATCAACTGAACCACACAGCTTGGTGTCATCCTTTGCCTTTACCTGAAGCAGGAATAACCCAGACTGTCTTCCCCAGCAAATTCTTTATGTGCACCACAGGAACTTTATCCCCTTCTACAGTATGTAAAAGTTCTGAGAGGGCTGGGCCAGTCCTGTTGGCAGATCCTCTGGTGTTGACCAACCAGGTGGCTTTTGGTAAATGTGTATCCCAATGTTTGAAAGTGTAGGTTTTAACAGTATATTGTACCTTTCAATTTTCCCAGAGGCTGCTGCATGGATGTACCGTTACCCACTGAATACCATGCTCT